CAACTTCACAAAAAATTTTTCCCAAAAAAAAAACTACCACTCCCACACACCGCGCCATTGAAATTCCTCCCCCCCCCCCCCCCCCCCCCCCCACTCAGGTGGGCAGGTATCCTAGGCTGTTCGTAACCTTACGCCGTTGGTCTCACATAGGCAATGTCCATGGATGGAATTTGAGAACTTTAGAACCAAATCTATTTTACTAGAAATAATTTATGGTACATCCGTTGATATTCTCTTCAACTCCCAAGGATATAGAACTTTTGTATAGAAAACAGATGAGAAGACCTCCATAACAAGGTCGAAAATGATCAAAAACGCCAATTGACATGCTTGTACACAACCATTTTCCTAACTCAAGCAACACTGACAAACTGGCGCTTCTTGCCTGTTCCCTTGGAAGTCTGCTGTTCCTCCCAAGTCTCCTCATCAACGTAGTCTGCAGTACTTTGTTCTTGAATCTGGTTGCCAATGCACTGCAATGCAGACAGGTTGAAGCCCATTTCATCCTTCTGGCGAGCAAGGACACGACGCAGTGATGCGCGAATGCTATCCAGCATGGGGCGCATCATCTTGCTGGCCACGATTTGGCGGTGATGAGTCTTCAGGATGAAGAAGAGGACCCGGCAGGTAAGAGGGACGTTCCATTCACGGTCGGCCCAGATGTTGAGGAAGGTGAAGAGTGCAGAGAGCTTGGAGAATGGTAGGACCAGGAGGGCGTCCTGGAGGGCGGCGGCAGGAATCTTCTGAACGGTGTTCAGAACGTGCTGCTCGGCAGAGATGTTGTTCAGGGCCAGGTAGACTGGGTTACGGTCGGGCTGCGCAGCGTTGGGATTGGCAGCCTTGACCTTGCGCCAATCACGGACAACTTCAAGATCCTCCATGCCAAGCTCGAGAGCTTCGATGATCTTTTCTCCGGCCATGAGAGTGCCTGTCGTTTGCTTTCCAGCATCGACGGCCTCAGCCTTTTCACCATCACCATCCTCATCCTGCTCCAAAGAGGCGGTAAGTGTGCTGTCATATGCCTCTTCCTCCTCCTTTTCGCGTTCTTCCTCGAGGAAGAGAGGCTCGTCGGTTTGTTGCCAGACACGGATGCTCTTGTCGTGACTAGCACTGACGATGAAATCGCCGGAGCGGCTCATGGCAAGTGCCCAAATTTCGCCGTGGTGACCAACAAGACGTTGGATTTGCTCGAACTTGTCACCGTCCCAGTACTTGATAATGCGATCCTTACTGGCACTGAAGAAGTTGTGGCCGTTTCCATCCTTGTTGTGAGGAACGAAGGCTACTGCCATGATGCTGTCCTCGTGGGCGAGGAAGGCTTTGTGGCAATCACCGAAGTCCAATCCCCAGAGACGGACTGTCTTATCTGCTGAACAGGTCACGATGAGCTTACTGTCATGAGAAATATCCATGCTCAAGACTGGGAGCTTGTGTCCATATAGGTTGAGGAAAAGCTTCAATGAGTCGACAAAGAAGACCTTCACAGTGTTGTCGAGGAGAGAAACAGCCAACAGGCGAGCATCTGGAGAGAAACGGAGGTTGAGAATATCATCGTTGACCTTGAGGGTTCTTGTGTGTGCCAACTTGAGGCGCGGGGTGGTACGCTTGGTTCCAGGAATCTCTTCCTGGACGACCTGGAAGTTCCAGAACTTGGCGGTCTTGTCCGCACTTCCACTGACCATGGATTTGCCATCGGGGTGCACCTGCAATGACCACACAGGTCCATCGTGGGCCTTGATGGTGTCCAGTAATGTCGAGGAGGCGATGTCAAACACTTCAAGCTCTCCATTCTTGTTACCGACAACCACAATCTTGTCACCAGGAAGGAAGGCGGAGCACAGAGAGTACCCGCAGTCGAGTGTTCGTAGGCAGCTTTCGGTGAGAACATTCCAAATCTTCAGTGTGCCGTTAGAGGCGGAGGCAAGCATTCGGTCGTCAGTGCTGAGCGCAATAGACCGAATATCCGTTCGGTGACCGGGGATGTCCACTGCCAGGCTGCGGGTGTAGTCGGACTCCTCACTGTCGGCGTTTTTCTTGTTTGCCGGTACCACGGTGTAGGCTTCGAGCTGATTGTTTGTTGTAGCGGCCAGGAGGTTCAAACCAGTTGATTTGTTCGTCATCCAATCGAAGGAACGGACCTTTCCACCAGTTCGAACAATCACATATTGGACAAAGACTTCCGATACAGGCGCAGCGGCGGCATCATCGGTCTTCTCGTCCTCCTTCTGCGCACCGCCTTCTTCGGACTTTTGCGCAGCCTTCTCCTTTCTTCTCTTGTTCTTACGCGACAGGCTCTTTTGTACCTCTGATTGGGAACGAATACGCCAAATCTCAACTGACTTGTCTGACCCGTGGAATCCAACGTAGTCTGAGCGAGGGTGGAATCGGATGCCGAGCGTACGGTCTTTGCCGTGACGGTAGAAAGTTCCTCGGTCGGTGAGAATTTTGCGCCCATCCGCGCTGATCTTCTCTCTGGAAATATCCATCATTGCCGCCTCATCGATCGACCAGACCCGGAGTTCGCCATCATTGCCGGCTGTGATACAGCCGCCTTGGTCGGGCGAAAGACCCAAGCTCCAGCACTCTCCGTTCGATTGAGCCACATGTGTTTCGATGCAGTGTTGCGAGGCAAGATCCCAGACCTTGATCAATGCATCCTTTCCGGTCGTCAACAAGAATCCCGCGTGTTCGTTCAGCCCGGTAGCGGCGAGCAATTCCTGTGAAGGGAAAAGGAAATGCAGCGATGTGATCTGATCGGTATGTCCACGCAGCTTGAAGAGACCGACTTCGGTAATGAGATCCCAAACGATGATATCGGTATCCTTGGAGCCACTTGCGAGGCGCACGCCAGCATTGTCGAAGGCTAGCTTGGTAACGGCGGACTTGTGGCCGTTGAAAGAGATGATGACGGTACCGGTTCGAGAATCCCAGAGACGGATACTGCCATCTTCGTAACTTGAAAGGAAATAAAATTAGAAGAATGCTTCAGCCGAAAGTTACACTCTGGAGTGCTTACCCAACCGCAAAGATATCTTCATCCGTTTGACTCTGCGAAACCACACTGACCTGCGCCCTGCAGGCGGAATCGCGCCATCTTCCGAGTAATTCTCCCTTTTTCACATCCCAGCAAAGGACTTCTTCGCTAGCACCAACAATGGCCCGTCCGGCGCCTGTCTGGCGTGCGACACCAGTCTGGTCGTCTTTGGCCCAGATCGCATTCGAGGACGCCGAGGCGACGAGCCCGAATGTATTCGAGTGCTCGAATTTACTGTGTGAATATTAGCGCATTGATCAGACAATCTGGAGAACCAGTAAAAACTCAACGTACAAGTATGATTTCACCATCGTTGGAAGTGGATGGGAAAATTTTTGGAATCTCCGATTGCTATCGATAGGATAAAATTAATACGGGCGGCGACAGCGACCGCTGCGGCTCCCCCACCGCCCATGACGATCATTGGCAACCTCACAACAGCCACCTTTACACTGCACATTGAGCCATTGCATTGCCCGTCATGCTTCTCTTAGATTACCAGAATGTTTTAATTGAGTCTCTCCTCACTGAGCGGTTCTCTGGGTATGCCTCGTCTCCCACCCCCGCACTGCGATCCCGCATTGTGTACACCCGCGCAACCCAGGCACCCGGCTAACAAGCTCCAGAGCAACCCCGGTCTCCATTGACCAGGTGGTTTCCGACTTTGACGGAGTGACCTTCCACCTCTCCACCCCCGAGTCCAAGTCCAAGATTCTCATCTCAATCAACGTGAAATGCTTCAAGGAACTGGTGCAGTACGGAGCCCAGGAGGTGTTGGAGAGAGAATACGGTCCCTACATTGTGTCTCCAGAGCCCGGCTATGACTTCTCAGTACAGATCGACTTGGAGAATCTACCCGCTGAGGAGGAGGCCCGGAATGACCTTATCATGAAGCTTGCCCTCCTGAAGCGCAACGCCATGGCCGCTCCGTTCGAGAGAGCGTTCGACGAATTCAACAAGCTCGCCGAGGAGGCTTCCCAATACACATCGGAGTCCGCGCCCCAAGGAGTCAAGGAGGGAGGCGAAGTTATGGCTATCCACTATCGCGAGGAGGAGGCCATCTACATCAAGGCCAACTGGGATCGAGTCACTGTCATCTTCAGCACCGTCTTCCGGGAGGAGACTGATCGGATCTTCGGCAAGGTCTTCTTGCAGGTTCGTTGCCCTTGACATGCCCCAGACGTATTTAAGAGACAGCGTGCTGACCTCGGATAGGAATTCGTCGACGCCCGCCGTCGTGTTTTGACACTACAGAACGCTCCCCAGGTTCTGTTCCGTAATGACCCTCCCCTGGAGTTGGCAGGTGTGCCTGGTCTGAGCACCAAGGAAGGCGAAGTCAGCTACGTCACCTTCGGTATGGCTCGAAATATCTCCACATCTATCTCAGTACTAACTCGTGCAGTTCTGTTCCCCCGACACTTGACCGCCCAGCGTCGTTATGAGAACATTTCACACATCCAGACTTTCCGTGACTACTTCCACTACCACATTAAAGCCTCAAAGGTACGAGCAACGATATTCTCTTGACTCAAGACGATCACTAAATCTCCGCTGTAGGCCTACATTCACACTCGAATGAGAAAGAGGACAGCAGACTTCCTGCAAGGTAAATACTTCGATTCAAAAAAGAGAATATCTTCGCAGTCTAACACGCAGCAGTGCTTAACCGAGCCCGACCTGAGAACGAGGAGCGCGAGCGCAAGACCGCCAGTGGTCGCACGTTCCGAGTGCAAGGTTAAACCTTTGTCTTCATTTGTCTATATTGTTCACGAGTGCTTTGTTTCAATGAGCCAATTTGAGTTAACATTTTCTTTCATACTGTTTCAAAGAAGGAAAGATGCTCCGTGCAGACTACTCACGGATGTCTCTGAGAATTCTCTGAGAATTTTCATTTATCAAGTACTTACTTGATGTCAATGTCCCTTGACCGTTCATTACTTACTCATGTGGACTCCCATCTCCCATCTTTCTCAGCGGCAGTTTTCGGGGTCGCCTGGGTATTAATCCAAAGAGCATCACTACGAATGATTCTTAGGCTCTGATAATAAAGCCCGGGATGCATCTAAACGTAGATACGTGTAAGCAGATCATTTATCACTTAGTTACGTGCAACCACCAGCGTTTACTTGTCGTTTACCGTTTATGATCGTTTCCACGACGATGACCTTCTGGCGTATGCAGTTTCCGCATCAGGCCAACCATCCTTCTAGATTAAGACGGAGCACTTAAAACCACTTCACGATACCTTCTTCTTCTTCAAACCGAACATGAGTTCCCGCAAGCTGGTTCCGTTGCCAACGGCTTTGGCCTCAACTATCTCAAATGCTCGTCTGGGGGCCGGTGCCTCACTGCGAGAGAGGGATCCCGAAACGTTCATTGCGCTCACTATGAATTGCATGGATGCTCATACCCAGGCAACGAAGGCGATGATAGAAGAGCTTCAACAGCGTATGGACTCTGGCGAGAAGTTTGACTGGGAGACTGAATATGATAATATCAAGAGTCGTCTTTCCAAATACTGTGAATCGCTGGTGGAGGAAGCCGAGATGAGTTTGGCACCTGATGAGCTTGACTGTCCTGTGAAGTCTTCAGTGGATTTGGTGCGTCACCTCAAGGACAAGAGTTCGATCAACTCTCTCCAGATCTGCACCTCCCTTTCGACTACCTCGCCCACTGTTTCCAGCCATTCAGGTGGTTCAAAGATATCCCCAGCACTCAGCATGCCTGATTCATTTGGCGAAGGTTACCTGGTAAGTGGATTAAATCCCCTCGTCTACTCTGCTCGACTTAGCCTTCTGAGCTTCGCTGACTAGCTTGGAATAGCTTGCATCTAGCAGACAGCGACTGCGTCTTTTTGCTGTCAGCAGCGAGGATTGGATTAAATATGTGTCTGAGCCTCTTTCCGTGGATGAATTCGAGGTCATGCTTCCTGAAGGCTTGACTCAAGTGGATGAGTCTATCCACCTCGGTGTGGTGATGGGTATCCTGACCAAGCTGTACACCATGGCAAAGCTGATGCAGACCATCCTGATCAGTTATGGGCTCGAGGTAGACATTACTGTGTTCCAAATTCGTGGAAGCACTTGCTAACACCCATCTCTCGCTATTAGACTGATAGCTCTCGTCTCGGATTGATGCACTGGACCAAGCAATGTGAAGACAACGCAAAGTCCACAGACCTGAAGACACTGATCAAGATTGTGGAAAATTTGTTCTATTCCCTTTATGCACGGGTGGTGATCGAACTGGCCAGTGTCGAGCTGTGCGTTGGCTTTCGACCCAACCCTCGTTCCTTGGCGAGTCACCGTCCATTCCTCCACCCCGAGCCAGCCCATCTCTATCGGATAATCATCGCGTTCAAAGATGCGCTGGACGCGCCCAACATCTGTGCCAATTTCCGCAAGGATACCGCACTACACTTCCAGCAAGATTACATCACCCAAATCGCGGACAAGATCAAGACCTCGGCTGGTGTACCCCGGGATTCAGCTGAATACCGTCTTTATGCGGAGGGCATTGTGGGAAACAGGAATGGACCTTATTGTACGAAGTGGAAGACCTTGGTTACATTCTTCAACGTGATCCCAGTCCGGGTAATGGTACTTCTGTCTGAGCATTACCTCGCCGTGGCGCCGGTGAGTGTCATGCCAGATGACGTTCCGTTTGACGAGCTGCCCTTCATCAACCCCGACCAGATCGAGGAGAAGCAACGGGATGCTGAAACCAAGAAAGATCACCATACGGCAACTTTGGCCATGCTGGAAGGGACCACCATTGGAGACGAGCGCATGAAGGATCCCAAGTTCCGTATCTACTACCTGGCTAAGCAGCGAAAGTGCGTCTGCTCCGGACTGTGTCGCTGTGCCGTTGAGTGTACCCAGAAGGTCGTTCGCTGCTGCCCCTGTGCCGAACGCCAAGTGCGCGTCATGAAAACGAAGCGCGATCTCCGTTCCACGTCCTCTGATCTTATCTTTGAGACCACTGCAGGCACAATGGCTCGCATGTGCTTTTATGGTCTTGCATCTCTGCGGTGCGGTGTGACCGACCGCCAGATTTCGACAGAGCTGCAGCGGGCTTTCGACTTGATGGACGGATTGATCACCAATGAGCGTGGCAAGGACAAGAACCCGCGCCGCGAGAACTCCAAGCGGATCTCTTAGGTAACTTCCAATGTTGTTATGTTGCTATGGCTTGATCCTGAGTTTCCTGAGTTTCCGGGGCTTGTAATTGCCCGACGCCGTGACGGAAAAGGCCGAGAGCCAGAACGTTCAAATGTTTCGATGAGAATTATGTCAGCATTGTCATTGTCGGATGGTCCAGATGTCAACTATGGAGTAAGTGAATTGCTATTTGTACGGATTAAAAGGATGTCAACTCCATAGCTAATGCCACATTTTCCAATAATTGCTGCGTGCTCCGTAGACAAGTTTTATAGATTTGACGAATGCCTCTAATTTATGAACGCCAACCTGAAGGGGTTTAGATGTGGATTTGGTCTAGAAGTGATCCACCGCTAATCTCAAAGCTGTCACTAAGGAATACGAGTAGCTAGAGCGCATTACTAGATGCATATTCGTAGATATGACTCGTAACCTATGCAGACTATTCAGGTAAAACAATCCTCAGTTCCCAAGAATATGGGGAAAATGTCAGAACAGGGTTCTCGTATGCTCAGACATACTCCGTAGTGCCAATCACGTCGGCGGCTCAGACCAGTGATATCTTCGAGTTTGTTCCTCACCGGTGAACGGGTTTTTCTTCTCCCCCTTCATTTTTCATTCCCCTTCTCATGCCTAGACGGCAAAGACTCCTTCATGGTACAAGTCAGGAATGGTGACCAAAGCAGCGTCCGTGTCAAACTCATCATGGAAGACCATTAGCAAGTGGATCGCGAACATAAGCATAAACCCGACCCTGGCCCAGGGTGCCCACACTCGACGCCCGCACACGGCACGGCCATACCACGCGGCAGTTTGGCCTTCCTACGGCATCACCACCCCGGTACCTCATCAGCCTCTGGTGCGCCCACGGTCACCCTTTCGCTTCGAGACCGGCTACGCTCTATGTGCCAAACGGCCCTCGCGACCGTTCCCTCCACCCTTCTTGTCCCCACCGTCAACGTCCTTTTCGGACCCCTTGACAACGCACGGCCTAAGCCAGGATAAGAGATTATCCGTCAAGGGCGAGCTAGTGCGAGGCTTGAATAATGGAGACGACGCCATCATCGTCGCGGAGAACTTTATCGGCGTTGACGACGGCGTAGGCGCCTGGGCTACGAAACCGCACGGACATGCTGCGTGAGTCGACCCCATCACTGCGATCTGACCCTTGCTGACCTTCGTCCTTCCCATCTTAGTCTGTGGTCTAGACTCCTTTTACACTTCTGGGCCCTCGAGGTCGAGCGACATGACCATGACCACACTCTCGATCCGGTCGAATACCTCCAGTCTGCGTACGAGGAAACACTGCGAGCAACCACATCTCCGACCGAGTGGCTAGGGACCACCACCTCCGCGACCGCGATATTACACCACACCGAACAAGACGGCAAGCAGAGACCACTCCTGTACGTGACCAACCTAGGCGACTGCAAGATCATGGTGATCCGGCCCACCGAGGAGAAGGTCATTTTCCGCACCGCAGAGCAGTGGCACTGGTTCGATTGCCCCATGCAGCTTGGGACGAACAGTATCGACACACCCAGAAAAGATGCGGTCTTGTCCAAAATTGCATTACAGGAAGACGACATTATCTTAGCTCTCTCTGACGGGGTTATGGATAACCTCTGGGAGCATGAGGTGTTAAAAATCATAATGGATAGTACCAACAAATGGGAGGAGGGCCGTGTCTCCCATGAGGATGTTCCGAATTCCAGGCAATCCGAGGAACGCAATGTCTTCATTGCTCGTGAGCTCTTAAATGCTGCTCTGACGATTGCCCAAGATCCATTTGCGGAAAGTCCATTCATGGAGAAGGCTATTGATGAGGGTCTTGCTATCGAAGGGGGTAAGATGGATGATATTTCCGTCGTGGTTGCGTCTTGCAAGAGGCGCGCCGGTTGAGAGACCCTTGCACATCTGACTTTACTCAACATTGAAATCAGCTCATGCTGCGAGTATGCGCGAAACTTTGAGGATATCAAGCCCACTTGATCATGGGTATCCCGCCATCTCTCGTCTGGGTGTCATATTCTGGCAACCACACACGGATCGCCGCGCTCTCATTGAGCACGAGATATCATCTCACATATTGGTATTCTCATCCACTTTTTTTGCGCTGGTGATATCTGGCAATCTTGTGTGGTGTGTCGCCAATGACGCATGCCCAGAAATCGCCTCCTCCGACGCACTACCAATCCAAGGACGCGCCGTTATCTGGAATCGTCGCTGGAGATTTAGCGGGCGCTATCTGGGCTTAGGACACCCCGACCTGATGTTACTGCCCGTCAAAGAGTTTCAGCGACACTCAAAATCTCGGGTTCATGGTGGTGTCTACCGTCGGGATGAACACTCACCCTTCACTCGCTTCACCGCTGTGGAATTAATTGGTGGACCTTTTATCACATTGGGAAACCAGCCAAATTGATACCCAGGGCACATACACCTGTCCTGCTAGTTTACTGAACTCAGGACCATATGCATTCAGAAATTTGCCGGCGAAAGCATTAATGTTTCATATTCATATATACCCTTTGAAATACTACCATAGCAATCGCATTTTCGGGATACTTAAACTTGCCGTGGCTTTAAATCACACGTAGGATTAAATGCTTGCCAAAATGCACGATGTACTTATTGATGAATTGGCCACCATATTCGCCAGTTTTTCATCCAACACCATAATGACTCGATGGGATTGAGATCTGGCGAATACGGCGGTCAATTCATCAATATGACTCCCATTCTAGCCAGTGCCTCTCTGGTCGCTTTGGCTTTGTGAGGAGGAGCATTATCCTGCATGACTATACCGTCTGGATGCTCCTGAGCCCATTGCATTGGCAATCTGGCGAAGGCCAAGAATGCGTTTTGTTCGTTCTGTCTGGATTAATACAGAGAAGAATACGTTGACGAAGCGGAGGTGGAGAAAGAGAAGTTTCTTCTGGTTGAATAATCATAGGCAAATCCATGGCTTTAGTGTTTGACTTTGTATAAAGAATTACATGTAGAATAGAACGATAAATGAAACTTGGTCCCAGATCTTGATTCCTTTATAGAATTCCTTCATACTTCTAAGATCAATTGATGCGTACAGATCAATGGAAAATGTACAGTATTTTTGAAGAATTGACCACTTAGAGTAGTAAGCTTCAGCTTGAACTACATGATCTGTATGATCTGTATTTTTGACGATTTTCACCAATGACAGCTAAGGATCACAATTGGCCATTTTATTTAGCGTTCTCTTAAGCAAGAGTTCCATGAGATCTCTCAGTCTATCTTGGAGCAAGATGTGATGTATAGAATTGATCTTGGGAGTTGGAAAAAGCAAGCAATCTTGGGGGTTTCCGGCGATTCCCACCAAAATGAGATAAAAAAATCTCCGTACCTAGGTACATACATAAATACATACTTCAAGATCAGCTGGCCCCACGACCACTTGAGCACAGACCATGTCACCGCCCCCGTTGCCGCCCGGCAGAATGAAAAAAGTTTCGGTCGAGATTGAAGCTCTTGCTTGAAGTGATCAAATCCTCGATTAATTTGACCCCAACCATTCACAATGAGGGCCAAACGTTCAAAGAAGTACCGCAAGCTTATGCACCAGTATGAGTTGACTTTCGGTTTCCGAGAGGCCTACCAGGTCCTAGGTATGCGTTGTTGAATGCTGCGCTCAGATGCAACATGCTAATGCGGACGAACAGTTGACTCGAACTTCCTGCGTGCCACTGATCAATTCAAAATGGAGCTGATACCTGCTCTTGAGCGAACAGTCCAGGGCAAGGTCAAGCCTTGTAAGTGCAAAATGCCAATCAGCCGCGACAGCATATGCTAATGACCTTTGCAGTATTGACAAAGTGCTCGCTCGCCGCCATCATGGCCGCGCAGCCCATCAACCCCAAAACCGAAAAGCCTTACCGACCTCTCTTCCTTCCTCCTCCCACTGAACTTCCTCTCCGCCACTGTTCGCACAACGCAGATTCAACACCAATCGACGAGATTGAGTGTCTGCTTTCACTTCTTTCACCGAGCTCAGATGTAAAGAAGAACAAGGAGCATTACATTCTCGCTACTGCGGAACCAATCTTGCGAAAGACCAATCCCAACGAACCCAAGCGGAAATGGAAGACCGAAGATGACCGCAAGGAAGAAGAAGCCATGCGCCGGTCGAAGACTCTGCGCTCATCAGCCCGCAGCATCCCCGGTGTCCCAATCATCTACGTCAAGCGCTCAGTGATGGTTCTCGAGCCGATGAGCAACCCGTCCGAAATGGTGCGGGATGGTCACGAGCGAGGCAAGTTCCGCGCCGGACTAGACGTGGACGCTTCGCTAGGCAAGCGGAAGCGTGATGGCGAGAATGATGACGAGGAAGAATCCGACGAAGAGCCCAAGAAGAAGCGCACACCTAAGGTGAAGCAGCCCAATCCTCTGAGCATGAAGAAGGCCAAGAAACGCCCCGAGACCGCAGCTCCCAAGAAGAAGGAGGCTCCTGCTAAGCCCGAGGGTGATGATGAGGCCGCACCCAAGCCCAAGCGTAAACGCCGTCACAACAAGGGTGTTCATTGGGAGATCGAGGATGCCGCGGAGTCGCAGCCTGCAGAGGCTGCCGCTTGATTTATGTCCGTATGGCCTCGCCGACTGATGCTGGTTATCATTGCATGCATTCATTTTATCACCCCAGGTAGGCGTTCTTATATTGTATGGGTATATCTAAAAGTTTAGCTGGTGTACAGAATAGTATAGTACATTCAAGATCGTTCGATGAGTACAATCTCTTTGGTAGACATATTTCAATGTTTGATGATTTAAAGTAAGGAAAGAGTGTTTTTACAAGGTAAGTCATATATACATTCACACTTCTGGTATCGTACAAATCCCTTTTTCCAAAATGCGATGAGAGGAGAGGACAAGGCACTGGAAGACGGGGGATGCTTGCACCATTGGGCCAAATCGACGGATGAAACCCGGGATTTGAATCGACTCGAGGGAGCAGTGCTTGAATCCCGGTCACACGGCTCGTCACAGCAAAGAAAAAGCACTCCAAACTCCAAACCCAAAACGCAAAGGCACATGGTACCACATATCGGGTAATTTATTGTTTCGCGGATTCTGTGTTTGTGGCAGTAGCAGGTGAAGGTCCTTGGCTGAGCTCGCGCTCCTTGGCCCAGATAGCCTCGACACGCTGACGGTTGTCTCGGGCCTCGTCCCGGTTGCGCTTTGCGCGCTTGTAGCGCTCTTCGCCGAGGCATTTGTTCACATCTCGCTTGATATCATTGCAAGCCCCCATAGCCTTGATCAGGAAGCCTTGGGCGTGGCATTCGTCGAGGGCGGTCATGATTTCCTCGCAGTCTAGCCGGGTGATTAGTATGAGTCGGACAAGGAACGAGGATTGGGCTCAACGTACTGACGTTGTAGGGTGTGTGAAGGTGAGAATGCATGATTGCGGTGGAAATTCGAAGGACTAGGAAGAAGCAATTGTTATAGCTCAACTTAACAAGTCAATCGTACGATTGAAAGCAACAACTGCGGTCCGCAAAATCCCCGGGCGGCGAGGAGATCGGCCTTGTTCTGCCGGGCGGAAAGCCCCGCCAGACACACCGATAAAAAAAAATATCGGCGATAAAAAAAAAGTTGACGCAGGTGTTCAGTTTTATCTCAACACATTCAGCATGTCTTCTATGATTACGACTACGTCGTGGGTCAAGCGCGGTGTCGCTGCCCAGTTCCCCACTAAATATGTCATTGACGAGGCTGAGATGAGCCGGATATCTAAGCTTGCGCGCATGCAGCTCGAAGATGCCAAGGAAGACATGAGTGCTGCTCAGGACAGCAAGATGGACGAGGAAGAGCAGGCTGGTGATGCTATGGACGACGACAGCGAAGAGAAGCCTTCCACAGAAAGCGCACCCGCAAAGGAGTAAGTAGACTTAGTACACCGAGATCGAACCATGCTAATTCGATTGCAGCGATGACGATGTCTTGAAGGAGTTCGACATGGACAACTACGACGAGGAGGAGGTTGACGATGAGGGTGAAAAGGTCACCATGTTCGGCAACGTACAGTCTTTGGCTTACCACCAGCCCAACGAGGCGGATCCCTACCTCACCATGCCCGAGGAGGACGATGACGAGGAGCGCGAGGAGCTTCAGATCATGCCCGAGGACAACATTCTCCTGGCTGGAAAGGTCGAGGACGAAGTTGCGCACCTTGAAGTTTACGTCTACGAAGACAAGGCGGATAACCTTTACGTGCACCACGATATCATGCTTCCCGGCATTCCTCTCTGCACTGAGTGGATCGACATGCCCGTTGGCAAGAACACCGAAGGACGTACACAAGGCAACTTTGTTGCTATCGGAACAATGGAGCCCGATATCGAGATCTGGGATCTCGATGTTGTGGACTCCATGTACCCCAATGCCATCCTCGGTCAAGGCGGCCAGGATGCCGACAAGAAGCAGAAGAAGCAGAAGAAGAAGGCCAAGGCCAACGATGAATACCACATCGACGCTGTCCTGGCGCTGGCCGCCAACCGTCAGCACCGTAACCTTCTTGCTTCCGGTTCTGCAGACAAGACTGTCAAACTCTGGGATCTCAACACCACCACCTGCGCCAAGTCCTACTCCAACCACAAGGACAAGGTCTGCTCACTAGACTGGCACCCAACCGAGTCCACCATTCTCCTGAGCGGCAGTTACGACCGCACCGTTGTTGCGGCTGATATGCGTGCTCCCGATGCACAGGCCCGCTGGGGCGTCGATGCCGACGTCGAAGCCGTCCGCTGGGACCCCCACGACCCCAACTTCTTCTACGTCACCACCGACGCCGGCATGGTCTACCGTTACGACATGCGCAATGTTCCCACCACTCCCGCCCAGTCCAAGCCCGTTTGGTCCCTGCAGGCTCACGACTCCTCCGTTTCCTCCTTCGACATCAACCGCATCATTCCCGGATTCCTCGTCACCGGCTCAACAGACAAGACCGTCAAGCTTTGGAACGTCGAAGACGACAAGCCCAGCCTGGTCGTCACCCGCAAGCTCGAAGTTGGCAAGGTTTTCTCCACCTCTTTCGCTCCCGACCAGGAGGTCGGCTTCCGTCTTGCTGTCGCTGGTAGCAAGGGTAGCGTGCAGGTCTGGGATTCATCCACCAACGCTGGTGTCCGTCGTGCCTTCGTCTCTCGCATTCCTGACTTCGCGAACGAGGTCCAGGAGCGCACTGTCGGCATTAACGTTGACAATGAGGACTCTTCTGATGATGAGGGTGAAGCTGAGGGTGAGGAGGCCCCTCGTGGCGGTGATGGCTGGGAGTCTATGGATGAGGATTAAGTGGATACCCATGATCATTCTGGTGTTTATGTCAAAAAATAGATTTGTTGAATTCTGCATGTTAACGACCCGTCTGTTTATGAGTTATAAAATATGAACAAAATGTTATATATTCAAGACTTTTACTGTTGCTTTTCAGCCTTCTAGAGTTGTGTTCGAACTATCGCTTTACCCCGAGGTCGTCTCTTATAAGTGAGTCCATTGAAATATTATATATGATCTAAAGAAATTAAACGAAACCCCAAATCCCATAAAAATGAAAAGCTTATGCCTCCAGGGCATGCACATGGGTAGTCAAGTCCAGCAGTCTGTTGGAGTAACCCCATTCATTATCATACCAAGCCATGATTTTGAAGAACTAAGATGTTGTTAATGAATATCTTTCGTTCCGGAAGTCAAGTTGCATACCTGGGGGTTCAGTTCCATGCACGAAGGAGCGTCAATGATAGCGCTGTATGGGCTACCATTGTAATCACTGCTGACAAGCTCCTCGTCAGAAACCTTGAGAACACCGGCCATATCGGACTTAGCAGATCGACGGAAAGCAGAGATGACTTCGGCCAACGAGGTCGGCTTCTCAGTGCTGATGGTGAGGTCGATCATTGAGACGTTGGGACTGTCAATTTGTTAGATTTAGACTGTGAATGGTGATGAGTTGATACTCACGTAGGCACCCGGATCGAGACACCTGTGACTTTGCCGTTCAGTTCTGGGAGAACGGCGGCGACGGCTTTGGCGGCACCGGTGGTGGTGGGGATGATATTGTTGAAGACACCACGTCCTGGTAGTTTATTGTTAGAGAGGCTCAGTCGGGTGAATACGAATATGCTTACCCAGACGCTTGTTCTTCTTGCTATATCCATCCAGCACTTGTTGTGACCTTGTAGCAGCATGGATGGTTGTCAAGAAACCCTGTGCAACACCGAAGGAGCCCTGGAGAACCTTCAAAACAGGCGTCACGCAGTTGGTTGTGCAGCTTGCATTAGAGACAACACGGCAATCCTCAGTGGGTGTATAGTCGTCTGAGTTAACACCGAAGACGAAAGTAGGTGAGTCTGAGCTGGGAGCGGAGATGAGAACACGCTTTGCCTGGCCATAGGTGACGTGGTCGAGAGCGAGATCACGCTTGGTGAATTTTCCTGTGCATTCGAGGACATAGTCGACTCCCAGAGTGGACCAGTTGAGCTTCTTCAAATCGCGTTCGGAGGTAAGGGCAATTTGCTTGCCGTTGATGGTGATGAGGCTGTCGGAGAGAATGTGGATGGGGGTTCGGTCGTCGAGATCTCCCATGGAGGAGTCATAGCGGACAAGGTAGATGAGGTCTTCGACTGAAATGCATGTGTGGTTGATGGCGACGACTTGGATATCCGAGCGGACTAGGGCTGCACGAAGCACGTTGCGTCCTAGGGTGGTTTAGCCATGAAGACCTTTTTCAGCAAGGCAATGTACTGTTGGTCACTTACCAATACGACCAAACCCGTTGATGCCCACTTTGCATGGTGAAGTGACCTGCACTTGGCCATGGAGAACATCGTCGATGGAAGGGGCCATGATGGATATACGGTGGAGAGAGAAAAGATGCAATTGATGAGGTATCGAGCTCAAGATATTTTCAGTATGATTTCTAGACTATAGACCGATGGACAAGCAAGATCTATAAGTATAGATCCAAACAACCCACCCCAGCCCTGCTTTCCCGTGTCTCCAATCTCAACGCCGACGAACCCGACGTCACCCGCTGTCAAACGGATAAAGAATCGGCATCAAACAAGTCCGCCAGCTTCCCAGAGAGATATTTCCTGAAACCAACAGCAAATTAGACATCTAGAACAAATCAAAGCCGGCGACTCTGCCGTCCATCGGATATCCAGGATGGACCCACGTAGCATCCAATGAGAGCGATGGTTCATGCCGAAAATACCGCGTCCACGACCCGATGGCAGCGGAGGAGTCTTAGTTCGTTACGCAAGGGCCCATTACCTAGGCTGCTTTGGCTTGGTGAAAGGGGGTCGACTCTGGGGTAAAGTACCGATAGACGGAGGAATCCATGGAGCTGTCTGGACTGTGTTTGGCGCTGCTTGCCGCCGCGAAAAAGGGATGGGGCCAATTTATTCACATCTGTTGTCGCTTTCCAATCAGAATAATCCCGCTGGATCAGTGGGGATTTGCTGAGAGACTCCTTCAACGTGATTTGTGGGTGGCGCCGGCGTTTTCTTCCTCCGTATCGGCATTCCGATATGCTGCCCGGTTTCGCCGAACTATGACCAACACCTCCCGTTGCTGAGCCCTCAAATACTGATGATTCCGATTTTTCGCGGTAGAGAGATCAGGCTTTTCTTCTTGCGCGATAATTATACGGTTGAATCTTGAGAGTCCACTCCGAGATGTTGGAGTAGAGGATTTATGTCAGAGCATTCGCGGACTTTTGCAGATGAACATGGTCAAAACAAGGGGAAAATTCTACTTCAGTATTCAGACCGAAAGAAAATCACGAAGCCTCGTTACAGCTCAGATGACATTAGCTGCTGTATCTGGTCTAGGGGGAATTCAAGGTACTAATACCTCTCTAACATCTATACCAGAGTCGGATGATCCAGCTCTAGAGCTAGAGCTAGAGAACTAACTTATGTACAAATGTAAACTCAAGCATTTTCTTTCATCTCCAACGAGCATCCATCATCCTTCTCTTTGTTTTTGGCGATGAGCTCAGCGGGTGTGACTTCGCCCTGGGGCAAATTCCGCGCCATAGACACAATTTGCCACGGAGAAGAGGCATCCCGGAACACATGGTTTAGCATCTCCAGATTGCGGTTCATGGTCTCCGGGTAGAAGAAATAGACCAGGACAGGAATGCAGGCCGACAAGATTGCATACATGATATAATATCTGTACCCAATCGTGTCTATTGCCACTGGGGTTATCATGACCACAACGAAGTTCCAGAGCCAGTGGTTCGCGGTTGAGATAGCAGCCATGGCCACTCGCAGACGCACCGGGGCAACCTCTGTGCAATACAAGAAATTGCCGCCAAGGAAGCCGATGGGGTAGAACATATTGAACAAGAAAATGAAGAACGCAGATGCAATTGACGCGTGCTTATTATCGCTGCCAAAGCTGGTTGTTATAGCCAGCGCTGCCATGCAAACGGCCATTCCAGCACCGCTGATCATGAATACAGCACGACGGCCCAGGCGATCAATGGTGAAGAAAGCAATGAAACAGGCCAGGAATTTCCAAGTCAGGGCGCATGCTGCGAGAATTTTTGATAGGCTCGAGCCTAGGTTCAAGTTCTCCTGGAAGATTGTCGAGGCATAGACCGAAATCAGGTTTCCACCGCACATTTGTTGGAAGAATTGGAGGACGATGCACAGACCGAATCGATAAAGAAGCCTTTCGTCGTCATTCTTTGAGAAGATCTCCCGAAGAACTCCCTTCGATTCAGCAGTGGTTTCGAATGATAGTTGAATGCCCGAAATCTCTACCTCGATTGCCGAGTCATCTGGCGTAGTGCCCTTGAGAGCAGCTAGATTGGCAGTGGCTTCATCGGAACGATTGACGCGAACCAACCAGCGAGGGGATTCGGGTAAGAAGAATACCGATGCCAGGATCATCAAGGACGGGAGGAATGACAACGCAAGCGGTCCTCTCCATTGTCCAGTGTTGGTACCAGAAAGTTTGCTGAAACCAAAGTCGATCCAGTTACATAAAGAATAACCAAGACACATGAAGATACCATCGACGATGACATGCTGACCTCTGCTCTTTGCAGAAGAGCATTCAGATTGCCAAACTGGTACTGCAACACTGATTTGACCAACTCCCATGCCGAGTATGATGCGGCCCACAGTAAATTGAATCAAGGAATAGGCAGAGGTCTGCAAGACCTGACCGATAACAGACAGGATGGCACCAAGGAAAATTGTCTTTCGGCGACCGAGACGGTCAGACAAGAGAGTGCAAGAGAGAGCTCCGATCAGAGCACCGATCTGAAAGGAAGCAATCACAGCACCTTTGCTAGTGGAGTTATGGGATTTGACAGCACCCTCAGTGTTGATTGTGTCGATCTGAGGAAAAGTTTCAACCCAACTAGGCAGAGTTGCTAAAGGGCCAACACCGGCTTGATTATAACCGAAGAGGAAAAAGGCAGGGGCGACAACAAGCGTAACTTGCGCAAGACGCAATGCTCGTCCTGTCAGGCCCATGAATGGAGAAGACATAATGAAATACAAATTTGAGACCAGCTCTAAGAAATACAAAGCAAAGCCACAGTGAAAAGAGAAGACACCCACTGACAGGGGTTTTATATGTGTTTTTGGAAAATCAAGCTATTCCAAGAACGACAAGCCCGCCTTTGCGTCGGCATTGATGCTTAGCCCGGGGCCCCATGAACCTGGGGAAACGGACAAGTCCATCCCCGCAAATTGGAGCGCTGATGCAATGGGGAGCCGCTAAAACCCGGGGAAGAGCCCTCGCTTGAGGCATGTCTCCAGTTTCTGGGGCGTCTTGCCCCGTATCGGAGGTTGCATTGTCCGAACCCCAGCTTCGCTTACGCGTGTAAATGACTCGTGTGGCGAAATGCTTGTTTATGCTCGCTATGCACGGTGAAGCTTTTGAACCTTGTTAGTTTACCTGTAGGTGCAGGGATACCTGGCCAATGATGCTGCTACTTGAAGTTATTATACCACCGGATGATCATTTTGAAAAGCAAGGCTCATGCACATTGATCCACTTGCGATTTGAATTGGCACTAAGATACGGCACATCCTTAAGGTTGTTCATTTAGCCTGAAGGTTATTTCCAAGGATCTGAAGCTTAGTCTCGGGGGGTGAGATGTAGCAGTTACAAGAAATGTGTCTTAATGAAAACTTGGTTTTATTTTGATTTATACATTCGTTGCTCATTCTTATTCATATACTTTCAAAGGAAATATTTACTGGCTGCCAAGCTTCTTGATCTCAGCGACAACAGCATCAGTAACCTGCTTGGTGGTAGCGTTACCGCCCAGGTCACGGGTAAGAACACCCTGCTCGCAAACATTCTCGACACAGTCGATCAGCTTCTTCGCAGCTTCCTCCTCACCGAGCCATTCAAGCATCTCTGCGGCAGTCCAGAAAGTAGCCACGGGGTTGGAGATACCCATGCCGGTGATATCGAAAGCAGAGCCGTGAATAGGCTCGAACATACTGGGGTACTGGCGCGTAGGGTCGAGGTTGGAAGTGGGGGCAATACCGATGGAGCCAGCCAGAGAAGCAGCCAAGTCGGAGAGAATGTCAGCGTGCTAATGATTTGTTAGTTCTCATCTATTTTCAAATCCGATGCACAAGTACTCACCAGGTTAGTGGCAACAATGGTGTCCAGAGTCTCGGGCTTCAGGACCATGCGAGTGGTCATAGCATCAACGAGCATCTTGTCAACAGTGACATCGGGGAAGTCCACAGCAACGGCCTTGGCAACCTCGTCCCAAAGGACCATACCGTTACGCTGAGCATTGCTCTTGGTAACGACAGTCAAAAGCTTGCGGGGACGCTTCTGGGCAGTCTCGAAGGCAAAGCGCATGATGCGCTCGACACCGTGGCGGGAGAAGATGGAAACTTCAGTGGCAACCTCCCAGGGCTTTCCGGTGTGGGAGCGACCACCCTGGCCGGCGTACTCGCCCTCGCTGTTCTCGCGAATGATAACCCAGTCAAGGTCGTTGGGGCCACACTTGCGCAGAGGGGACTCAGTGCCGCGGAAGACACGAGTGGGACGCACGTTGGCGTACTGCTGGAAAGGCTGGCAGATAGCCAGACGGAGACCCCACAAGGAGATGTGGTCAGGGACATCTTGTTTCGTAAGTTATTGAATTCCAAGAGAGTCGAGTCAACTTACCAGGAGCACCGACAGCACCGAAGAAGATGGCATCGTGCTTCTTCAGTTCCTCGAGACCACCATCGGGAATGTATTTTCCGGTTTTCTTGTAAGTCTCTGAGCTCCAGTCGTAGTTCTTGAACTCCAACTTGAAGGTCTTGAGGGTATCAGTCAAGGCATTGAGAGCGGTGATACCAGCCTCGATGACCTCTGGGCCAATTCCATCAGCGGGAATGGAGGCGATGTTGTAGGTCTTAGACATGATGTGAAGTTCTTGGAGGTGAGTTGAATACAGAGAAGATGCAACTCAGCGCGTGCGAGGGTCTTTAAGAGATTGGCTTCCCACGTCTCAAAATTTCGGCTCCACCTGGGAATCGCACAAGAACCTATCGCATGTCCCCCTCGTCGCAAGCCCTTCCAACTATAATCTTGATCGCGGGGTGCGTCCGGAGATTGAAATGTCCGGGGTGAGGAACACGGAGATTTCATTGCCCGAAGGCCCCACTCGGACAAAGACATGTCCGTGTGGCGAGCAGCCCTAATTTGGTGAGAGTCCAATTCTCAAAGCTGTAGAGCGAATTGATTCCATGAGATAGACGAAGTCTGGCAAAGTGATCTTGATTTTCCAACCAGATTGTTCATCTCCCCCAGCACCAAAAATCATATTTGTCTATTTGAAGGCAACTGAAGGACCGTCACTATGCCGATACCACAAGAAGCAATCAATAGCGTTCTTGAACATGTCATACCTTACATTGAGCAACACATCCAAAGTCAGAAATCATCTTCCTCCAGGAGACCCTTTGTTTTGGCCCTCACCGGTCTCCAGGGCAGTGGAAAATCCACATGGACCGACGCTCTTGTCAAAGCGTTGAAATCCAGAAACCATACAACAATCAATCTTTCACTTGACGATTTATACCTGGACCATGCTGAGCTCGTCCAACTACGCACATCAAACCCAACCAACAAGCTTGTCCAAGCACGCGGTCAGCCAGGAACACACGATATGGCTCTCGCGCGCTCATTCTTTGAGAGTTTGAACAGCGGCCGCGAGATTCTGATTCCAGCCTTCGACAAAAGCAAGTTCAATGGAGAAGGCGGGAAAGCACCAGTCGAAACCTGGGAGCGTATTCCATCAGACACCACATTGGACGTCGTTGTCTTTGAGGGATGGTGTGTTGGGTTCCGGCCATTGGAGGAGCTGGATCTTCAGAAGAGGTGGGAGGATGGAGTACAGAATGTGTCCACTGGAGTTTATCCTACTGAGACATTGAAGGACCATGCGCTCGAGCACTTGCTGGAGGCGAATACAAACCTTCGTGGCTATTGTGATCTTTTCATGGGGCCACAGCATCTGGACTTCCTTGTTCACTTAGACACGAACGATTTGGTCAACGTGTATCAATGGAGAATGCAACAGGAACACGCTCTTCGACAGCGGACAAATGAGAGCATGACGGATGAAGAGGTGATTCAGTTTGTGAAGGGCTATATGCCAGCGTATGAGCTATATCTGGATCAGTTGAGGCGTGGGTTCTTTGATAAATCGCTTGGTGGAGAAAAGGGCCAGTTGCGGGTTGTCTTGGATGAAAATAGAAAGGTAGTGGATACTGTCTTGTATCCTTGAATTGGAATGTACATGCTTTTGATACAATATTTGCGCTTTAAACAAATGTAAGATTACAGAAAGTTATTATGGATCATCCATGGGCCGTCGGCAACACTCCAGAGATCATTCATGAGCATGGATGAGGAGAATGGCAAAGAGTCTGAACCGGCAAAATTGGGGTTGAAGGCAGCATTGCTTTCTGCCATGTTGCCGAAAATTAGTCCTGCCGAGGACTGCCCGCTGATAGGGTTGCCGGCAGGATCGAGCATTTCTGCATAATTGGGCATGTTGTCAGAAGGCGAGAAGATGGCAGAGTCGTATGCCTCTGCTGGGTTAGACCCATGAGGGGTCGATCGGACGGCCGATTGGAAAGGCTGGATTCCCACAGGGACTGGACTCTCTTGATATCCAGTCATCGTAGACGATCGGGGCCTGACTGGTGTGAGACCTGGATCCCCAGCCTCGGGTCCCTCTTGAACTGGTAAGAATTGTGTTCTTCTTCGGTCTATTGATGGAGTCGTTTGTGGATGATACTGTGGCTTCTCGGTGCCATTGATTGTCGTAGGAATCTTGAATTGATGGGCATTGGATGGTTGCGTCGAAAAAGCAGATTCCATGCCTTTGATTGCTTCGATGCAGGTCTCTGGCCAACTGCTCCCTCGAAGTGACAAATTTTCTAATACCGCAATACCCATGCGTGCATATTTGAGGGCACTCGACGTGGCGAATTCATCCTCCCATGCGGCGTACATGAGTATGAGACAAGCCATCCATGTTGACCATGTGAAGCATGGCCAGGAAAGTGGAGATTCCGAAGTAGACATATGCTTTTTCAATGCTGTGAGGATAGATCTTGAAGAACCTATACAAGTTTGCAGGGCATTTTTGTAGTCTGCACTTGGCTTTTCAGCTGCCAGCAGGGGTCGGTTGAGCGAGATGATAGCCTCATGTCTGAGGATCATCAAAAGTAGTCGATGATAAGGCTGCAAGGCTGGAGTCTGGTCGCCATCTTCAGTCGACTCTTCGATCGGATTCACATCATCATAGATCTCGTTCCACCATTGTGACAATTCCCCCGTGACGTGTGCTGCTTCAACTTGACTAGCATGGCTGTGAAGTATGGATTTATTACGAAGCTCCACGATCAGACCCCTGATCCGTGCGAACTTCGCGAGGTGACAGACTAGTCGTAATCTCCGATCGTCGGAGGTTGGAGGGGCGGCAGATATGTGTCGCTCCGTGCCTGGGTAACACACGTCAATGTCGTCGTCCCGAATTGAAAGTGGAATACCGAGCGCCTGTGAGAGGTACCTCTCAAGAGAGTAGATCGACCAGAATAAGCGACATCTGATGCCAACTTCTTCGCTGCTGAAGCATGAAAAGCGCCCTGGGCAGCGATGTAGTCCAAGGTGGAACGCGGTGCGGGTGATAACCCCGCCCACGCGCGAGGCGGCATTTAAACGCAGAAGAGATGTGAGTGCAACCTGCGCGGTAAAGGCTGCTTGCAATAGTGCCAAGGTTGTGGGTTCCTCAAGGAGACTTTGCACGTCCTGCATCACATGTTGAATGCTTCGGAAAACCAACCCTGCGGGAATAGGGTTCGGTGTCAAATCAGAGGATCTTGTTTGGCGATTATCACCCAGTGAGATGGATACAATTGATCGCAATATCATGAGCTCGAGTCGAGTGACCGATTCAATCCCTTTTTGACTGACCGTTTCCATTGTCTTCAAGACAGTCGGTGCGTGGAGGCATGGGAAGATCGGATGCCAGTTTTCGAAATAGCTGCGCGTCCAATTCACAAGGTCTTCAAAAGAAAAAGATGGGTTGATAGCGAAGTTCAATTCATCTTTCCTCCAAATTTCATCAGAAGTGTGGACACTTCCTGAATTTGGCCTCAACCGGTCGTCTTCGCCGGGCACCGAGGTCCTATCGCGCGCTCGCGTTTGATCCAAATCCGCTGAGCGGCGAGCGAAAGCATTGTAGACATGGCGGATGAAATGAATACCACTTGAGCTGCCAAGGAATGTAGCAGACCCCTCATTTTGTGACTCTCTCATGAATCCAAGCTCACGAGGCGAGGGACCGGATGTCGCAGCAACAGAAGTGCGCTTGCGTCGCTTGTTTGTACGCGGCCATTCTGACTCATTTTCCTCGTGTCTTGTGCTAACAGAAGAAGGTGACGCCATTGTTTCTTTGCGCTCATCACATCTTTGTTCTTTTTGTATGGAGTAAATTCTAAAAGGTCGCCAACATATTATTTGAAGGCTTGGCGTCGGAGGTCCGGGGGTCTTAGTAATCCATTACGTCAGATTCTCAACTGCCGGAGAAATATATATTCGAAGGTTCAGTATAGAGTATTTTGTTAAGATAGAACGAGACCTTGGAACCAAGCTCACTGAGGCAACCTCCCTACTCAGAGGAAGACATGCAGTGGTCCGGATTGCCAGATGGATTTCCCCACCATTTCGGGAAAGGATGTTCCTTTCCACTGGCCCCCATGACAGCGAAGGAGAGGACAAAAATGATGATTTGGGATCCGCCATCCAACGCCGCACCAATAAGGTAGTTGTACTTGTTGTAGATATGCGGCATGCGGCGTCGGAGCCAAAGCTGGGAGAACACACCGACGGTGATGGAGGACCAGATGAACGAAGTAATTCCGAAGTAGCTGGCTCCGGAATAGGATACGATAATGGGCGTGTTGATTGGCCATTTTCGAATGCGCGGAGACCATCGGTTTACTCCCCAATGTATAACAGGCAGAGCAAGTCCTATCAGAATCCCAATAGGAACAATGAAGTAGCGACTTTGCAAGCTGTACATGTCTTTGGCCAGAGCCCATGTAATTGCCTGGCTGTTCATGCTCTGGAGAGAGGAGCCGCTCCAGACATTTGTTCCCACGGGGTCAAGAAGAACCTCTCTCTCATTGGTGACAATGATAGTCATAACAACATAGTTTAGAGCTGCACCCAGGAGAGTACCGTAGATCTGAGTGGTGAACATAACTCGGTGTGGGACTTTCGTGTACTGTCCTATCTTGAGCCAATTTGCAAGACCGACAGCGAGCAAAATGACCTGGTGCGACCAACTAGCAAAATAAAGGTTCGCCAGGGGTCGACCAGGGTGGACAGCACCGGCCACCATCTTGGAGATTTGGTTTGTTGCTATTCCGTTTCCGAAAAGACCGACTAAGATGGCTGAAAATGGAGCGATGAACCCACCGAGGAGGAGAGAAATAATGTAACCCCAGACCGGTAGAGTGGTCTCACCCTTCGCAGTGACCATGATTCCAGCGATGAAGGTTAGTCCAAAAAGGACGAAATACCACCACCCAGGAACTTCCTTATACTTCAGCATTCCTTGGTAGTGGGGGTCGGGTTGAGTTCTAGCCCGTGCCTGTTTCCACGTGAGAATTATGTCTTTGCCGTAAAATATCAGAACATGCGTGATCAACGCTCCGATAGCTAAATTCTGTGAGAAAAATCCCCAGACCGTGCTGGACGTCAAATATGGCAGGCCCACCCGCTCGAGCTTCGCTCCATCAACAACATTATCACTGGTCAGAATCGATGTGGTGGAAAAGCTCGTCCCGTTGGCTGAGAAAAGCGATGCCGACATGAACGGGAACGTTTTCGCTCCCCACACATTGCCGTACCACAGGCTTAACATGACTGGATACCATATGAAGTAGCCAATCCAAGTGTTAATTTGTTGCTTGAAGGGCAACGACAAGTAGGTACTCTGGATATACTGCCAGTCAAGCGTGAAGTTCAGCAGGCCCATACCCTCGTTGGACGAGGCGCCACCGAAGACCTTTCTAAATACCGACCTGGTGGGTATGGGAGCCTTCAGTGATGCAAGACAGAAGATCGATAGTCCTCCAAACCATGTCACCATGTAGGACGGAAAGATCTCCCAGACCAACGCAAATCCCAGAGCCCAGCTGAATTTGATGAGGCGTTCCCGATTAGCAATCCGATCGAAATGAAGATTCTGGAAAAGAACAACCTGAGGCAAAGTCGCCCAATAGACCATTTCAGCCGGGTAGACGATCAATGGACGCAAAATACCAGCCAGAACGAAACCACAGAGTGAGATTGAGAAGGTGGCTAGTACTGCGGTCGAGGCAGAGATACTCCGATCGTAGAAGAGTCGCTCGATGGCGTAGACCTCAACTCCAGAGAGTCCGTTGTTACCAGAACTGGCTATCTGGGATGCAACGACATGTTCTTTGATCCCGAAGGGCTGTCCGAAGTTGAGAAAGCGAAGCGTGCCCCGAAGCCACTTCGCGTTGATATTGTCGGGGTAAGGGGTCATCCGGGCCCAGGCTTCTCCAAACATGAAAATCATCACTTCTCTCTGTTTAAGTGTATGGTTCAAGGACGAATGATCTTCTGGGGGGGGGGGGGGGGGGGGGGAAAAAAACCTCAGGGAGGGGGGTAAAAATTTGATCACAAACAGGCGGGAGGGGGAAAAAAAATGAGAAAAAAAAAAAAAAGGAAAAAAAAGCTTTTCCAAA